ATAGTTGATTTGTATCCACAAATATATGTATTTTTAACAATATAAATGTAAAATATTTTTATTATTATATAAATTTCAATTTAGATTATTATCTGTTTTCATATAAAGTTCTTATACTTATTTAAATTTCGACAACCAAACAAAACATAATTTTTTCAAGTTTCTAGAAATCGAACAAAACATTACAATTATAAACTCCTTGCTCACCGCATACATACAAATCCTAATTTTTGTTTATCTTGTCTTTTATCTTTTTTAATTGTTTCGTAACAAAAATAGTTGCATCTTCAACAAATACAGTATAGTCGTATAGATAAGTTTGACATAAGAAAAATCAAGATGAAACGTAATTGATACAAAAAAGAAAAAAAAAACCTAAAGAGTAGAGTGTCAGAATTCATTACCTAGATCATGAGTGATTTTGATCACAAAGAAACATTTTGCTATGATGTCAAAAAGTCTTCCATGCATGTTGTGTTTAATAGAATGGTGCGGCTGTGAAATCAAAACGTAAGTGGTTTCTTTTTTATTAAAATTTATCTGCAGGTGGCCTCTAGTAATCAATGGCAATGGCATGAACATTATCGATATCTTTGTCGAGTTCCTTGAGGAACTCATGGTAAGAGTAGATAGTTTAAGGTCTTTTATGATGAAACCGAAAATTTGCTTCAATTCTAACTGTTTTTGTATAGAAATTCAAATTAATCTTGATTACTCACTTCAATTCGAACTCTCAGAAATCTTGGTGATAGAAAATAACTTGTATTTTCAAAGCTTTGCCTACAAGACAGCTCTGAAAAAAAAATAAAAACCGATCGAGTTTAAATCATACCTAACGGAAAGAAGCTAGGAATTCAAAAGTTTCAAAGTATATAATATTATGCTTTTTGCATGTGTAGAGCACTTATGAAGAGTAAGGATTAATGACGAATCTGATGACACTTTTGAAGACTTACGGTTATTTTCTTAATGGTGATAGAGCTTATTACACTAATAGGAGGTAATGACAAATTTTGATTTTCTTTCGGTCTTCATCATTGGACTATATATTAGAAAATAAAAATTTTTGTTTATATGTTTTAATTGTTAAAGCCAAGTTCTTATATAGCTCAATGATATATTAGATTTATATTTAACCAAAGACGATTTATATGAAATCAGGAAGAGTTTTAACCTTAGCATTGAATATTATTTTTTTCGTCTTTTAGTTTTGTCGTGTATATGTTTTTTTCTGCTAATTACCATTCAATCGTTTTGATAGTATGATAATAGCTCCGACAGATTATTATACTTTCATAAAGTTAGGAACGAAGAGGTTGTTCATGACGAGAGACATCGACAAGATAAAGCAGAGGCGAAAATAGGAAGGGAAGTGAAATAGCAGCAGCATAATGAGAGTTATAAACGCTAGGATGCGTAAAGAACATAGAAAAAATGCTTGATTTTTTGTAAGGAAAAAGGTTTGAGTTGATGGTTGAAATTGTGAAGATGGATAATGTGAATATTGTGTTTGAGATGTTCGATAAGAAATATATGCTTTATAGGTTCGTGGTTGATGTTGAAGGAAGTTATGAAACTCGAGTTCTTTCTTTTGTCAACACTCTAGGCTTTTATATTTCTGGTTTCATGTTTGTTTGTAAGTTTTTTAACGGCACTATTGTTGCTTTTCATGAGAAAATAATAAAAGATGGACTGACAGTGGGATCAAAACATTTGTTCGAGTATTTTTGTTTGGTTTGAAACCGATTATAAAAAAAAACAATTAATATTGGGTTTTGGTTTTCTATCTTCTATCAATATTGAGTTTTGAATATGAATTGTTTCCTCCACATGTAGTTTTTATAAAATATTTTTCTTTGATTTTTATAAAGATCATTATTCTTTATTTGTTTTAATATAATACTAGAGTATATAGATTCCAATTTTGTCCCTTCCGAAAGTCCTATCATTTCAGAAAAATCAAAATCCAACTCAACACTCTCACTTGGGTATCTCCGCCTCAGAGCCAACAACTGTACGGATTTTCTCCGATCTCCCTCGCCGGCCGGAGAAACCATGTCTCAGTCTATCCAATTCTCAACTCCTTCACGTACTCCTCACCTTCTCCATCTCCCTCAATCTCGTTTCCACCGTCCTCTCTCCTCCTTCTCCTTCCGTCGCTTCTCCAAGTACACTTCCATCAGAGCCTCCTCTTCACCGGATCTCGAT